AATTTGTTCCTTCATTCACGTCACCATTATGAATAAAAAATACAGCAGTTTAAAATTCACTGAAAATCGTTTCATTCATAATTATCACCCGAGAATATTTCAGAAATCACGCCCGATCAGACCAAATAGGGAGCTGGGAATTATTACCTGTTCCTATTGATAAGTATGAAATAGGGTTATTATCTTCATTTCTATCTAAAATCATTATGATCCGATTAGATATTATGCCAGTATTGAAAAGTTTCAAATCTTGAGATACTTTCAATACAGAGCTTCTATTGGATACAACTGAGTATAGGTGAAAATAACAAATATTGACAAAATACTTACGTCTCGTTTTTTAAACGAATCTTCTGGCCGAACAAGAGAAGTAGTTGATTTTGAGGAAGACAATGGTGGTGGTTGCCTTTTGGTGACAATATGCTGTTGAGACGTAGATTTCTGAAGGCCCGTTTCTCGTCTACTAGGATGTTTACCTTGCTTCAAATAAATAAAAACAAATTGTTAAATCTTGTCCAACAATATAGAAAAAAGAGTTATATATTGAATATCAACATTTCTTACTTGTTCGTCGTCAGAACCATGAAAAGCCCCCTTTTCATCAAAGGTACCTCCGCCGTCAGTTGGATTTTCCGTAGCCCACTCTGGAAGGTGGTCTTCGTTGTCCCACGTCTTTCGAGAGGGTGGTGGACGATTTTCACCCCAGTGGCTACGACCACCCCTTTCCGGGGGGCCCGTTCTTTCTTCCGAATCACCCTCGCCCCTCCAACTTGAAGACCGCCCTAGTACAAAGCAGATGCATAGTAAATATCACACTTATACCGGTTATAGAAAACACAAAATACGTATAACTTTCAACTTTTAAATAGGAATCTCAATTTACATGTAATTTTATGGTTTAAAATTAAAAGGGGTATAATTTTAAGGACTATTCGTTTTTAAAGAATAAAAATTTTGGGCTTTCTACTTCCATTTTTTTTTACAAAAATTGTGGGAAAATTCCATAGGAAGGAAGAAAGCAACACTTCAACATACTAACTGGAATAAAAAGCCCTCCCAAAATAACTACTCTCACATGAACGTTGAATTAAACAAAAGAAAAAGTACTTTCGAAATAACTACTTCAATATGAACATTAATTATACGAAAATAACGTTTTCCTATTCAGTTTGTACTCCCAATATTGGTTACAGATTTGAAATTGATATCATAGAGGTATTTTTTTGTATAATTCAATGTTCATATAAAAGTAGTTGTTTCGAAAGTACTTTTTTTTTTCGTGTGATGCAATGTTTATATGAAATTAGTTGTTTGAGAGGACTTTTTCTTACAATTTGTGACTCATTGTAGCTCCTATACTATATACAAGAGTCTATGTTAAAAATAATTGGTTTCTTCCTTCCTTTGAAAATTTCCGACTTTTTTGTATAAAGATGAATACCTTTCTTTCCCAACCTAGGATTATTGTAGAAAAATGTTCAATTGAAATTAATATATTATTTGGGACAGACAACTTTCTGGAAATCCAGAGTGCCTGAAATCAATACAAAAATTATGAATTACACAGAATAAGTGTAGAAGAACCTATTGGTTATTATTCTCTGTGGCCCATTGGGAAAGACATTTTATAGTATTAAAACGTATTAATTATTACAGTTGTATATGGGAATTCATCAGTATTATTTGATAAAGAAGCAGCCTCATTAGTTTTACACACATCCTACCTATATTTTGCAAATCGCCTAAAATATTGCAACTCACCCCATTTCTCATGTACTCCACCTCTGCCCTGACTGATATTTCTCCAACCGTCGTCTTCCTCGCTATTTCGTGATCTTCTCCAATTGTCCAGCGACATGTTTCTCTGATTCCCATACTCTTTTCGAGGGCTCCACTCCTGCTGCTCCCCATTACCCCAACCTACCTCATAGCCGGCCGGCCTACCATACTGGTAGCCACCCCTACCCCTTCCTATTCTCCCTCCTCGTTCCAAAGACCCCCCTCTGCCACGGAGCGGACCACTAGGCTGTGACGCCAGTCTGCTAGACCATCCTCTCTACAAATATGTACAAAATGTAGATGTGTGATGTGATGCCACACATGTGATGCCAACATATGGATTTATATTATCAATAGACTTACATAAAATTATACTTCAGAATTGGTTTCTTCTTCGATTAGTTATGAAAAATGTGGTTTATTTCATTTGGTGATGTTAGACCACACATTTTTATTCTATATACAAGGGGTACTATTTATATTTCGGGAATAGCAAATAATAATAAATTTTTTTAATAATAAATATTTTTTAGCAAAAATGGCTTTTTTTGCAGTTTTTACACAATTCTCAAGTGTTTTAAGTGTTAGAACACTTGAGAATCACAAAAAAAAATGGCTTTATTGTTTTTCAGAATATTCCGCTTGATGATCAAAACGCTTTTTCATTCGTTCAAACCACTTGTCAAAACAGTTTTTCCATTCCTCTTGAGACACCTCCAAAACATGGTTTTAGCCGCTTCAACTGTTTCTTTGTTGATCAAGCAGTTTTCCTTTGATATTCGGGAACAAAAAGAAGTCATTGGGTGCCAAATCAGGACTGTACGGAAGATGACTTGTCAATTCGATGTTTTGACTGTTCAAAAATTCACCTGTTTTGAAAAGAGAAATGAAAATTTCTATGTTTTTTTACCACTTTTAATTGTAACTAACGTTACTGCAGTTTCGTCCTATATGGACATTCTCAAACTTATACAATAAGTTTTATTGTATAAGTTTGTTTGTAAGTAAGTTTGTTTGTACAATAAGTTTATTGTATAAGTTTGAGAATGTCCATATTGGACGAAACTGCAGTAACGTTAGTTACAATTAAAAGTGGTAAAAAACATAGAAATTTTCATTTCTCTTTTCATTATGATCTCCTACCACGTAGTAACGGCTACATCCATCAATTTATTCACCTGTTTTGCTTCTCTGTGCTTCTTAAAAAAAAACTTTTGTTGAATTTCGCTTGTCTTGGTATACCCACACGGTTGATTGCTGCTTTGTTTCCGCCTCATAAGCATATATCCATGATTCGTCTTTTGAAGACGTGTATAAAATCGAATGTATCGAAGTGAAACTATTATGCAAGGATGCCTCTATCTTGTAATACGTCACATGACGATGCAGTTCAGGCACTGCATCGATGTTTTGTGGCACAACAACCGATTTTGGACGACCTTCACGGAATTCGTCGGTGACCGAACTATGACTAAGATTAAATTCACTATACCAGCGATATACTGTGTTTTTGATGGTGCTTTATCGCCATACAAAAAAGGGAGTTCATCGACACATTCTTGTTGACATAATTCAAGTCGAAATAATCCAACAAAAACCTTCTCATGAAATTTCTATTTTTTGGTCAAATTGATTTTCTTAACTCATTGTAAACAGAACAAATAGAACTTGTACATCGTTGTGAGTACGTTTATGCTAAAAAATGTCAAACTTTATTATGGTGTTGCCACATTTTACCTATTGACATTAGTGTTGCCAGCTCAAGAAATATAAATAGTCCCCTATCATAAAATGAAAAAAAAAATGGATGATAATAAGATGAAATATGATACAAGAATACTCCATTCTTTTTAATATTCATAATATTTATGATGATTTTCTTTTCCATTAAAACTTTTTTTCATTTCGCCAAATTTGATAGTGGCTACAGAAGGTAGGTACAAAAGGTACTATTTACATTTGTAAACCAGCTTTACAATTCTTCAAGACTTTGATTAACACGTTAAAACGTATTAGTGAAATAACAACAAAACCCTTTCCTTTCCTATCAAAATATTGATAAAATCCATTTACATACCTCTTCTTCACTAGTTTGCAGTAAGGCCAAGGGTAGGAGACTTGTATCGGAATAGAGACATTTGAAGTTGGTCAGCGAAGCTGGAGGTTTTGAATTCCTTTCAAAGAGTGCCAACATCTCTTCTCTCCCATACCTATAATTTTTCGTATGAAGAACAAGATGAAAACGATATACCTATGGTGTTATAAAAAAATGATGCCTGACACATATATACAGGAAAATCCATAAAACAAACTCTTTTTCTTTTCAATATGTAAAATGAATCTTACAGAAGACATGTTTCTCTCATTCAAAAACTACGAAAACATTAATCTTGATACATGTTTTTGGAAACAAAGTGTGCTTGAGCAAATGTTCATAGCTACAGTTACACAAGAATTATGTTTCCACAGTTCTAGTGTTTTCAAAAGTAATATTGGCAAATTTTTTCTCTTATCCGATTTGATGTCAATACCTCAGCAATACAGTTTGTGTGTCGCTTTACCACTTAGCACATATTCAAAAAAACACATCAATGTGAGATTTCCACTTGACTGTTTACAAAACCACAACACCTGTTTCGCTATACAATAGCATCTTTAGGCATCACAAAACAATTGCTAGTATTGTGACGCCTGAAGATGCTATTGTTATATTGGATCGGTATCAGTCAATTCTATCATATTGTCCCTTTACTGGCGTCAAGCCGTTCAATTTTCAAGGGAAAAAACTTCAAGTTCTGTCAAATATCGAGGGTGTATTAGACATGAAGAAAGTATTTTTTTCATCATGTTGTGTATATTATAATAATGGGAAGAAGTAAGTCACTTCTTGAGTTACTATTCGTCAATTAATCGTACAAGTAAAAATTGTCCTATCAAAAAAATTGGTCGTACACAGTATCCTTAGTCCTGGATCCACTACAATCCAGCCTGAAATTTATTGATATCTTCTACATATGAGTGAAGGAAGAATATTCATGTTTGCACATACCACTTCAATGTTTATACGTGGCAAAATCCCAGGAAAAACTTATGACGGAGTAATGTGGGATTTGCGTGTGGGTTGCCAAAGAAGTTAACTTATGAGAAGCATTCATACTGTGAAATGAGAAAAAGATATTACAATGGAAGTATGTGAAGAAACAAATTTTCTGGTCACTTTTATTAATCCCAAAATGTACTGTGAATGCAAATTGGCTTCCTTATGCAACAAGATATTATAACATAGATACTAGGCTCTTAGATTTATATCGTATGAACATAATGCTCACTTGGAAAATGTATTACACAATGCTAGGCTGCCCCTATGGACATATTGAAGGATCTGTAGAAAATCTTGTGCATTTTTCCAATTGCACAAAACATGCTACTGGTTGATACCGAAAGTCACAGCGTTCTGGGAATGATCTCCAAATTAATGTCTCTAGCAACTATGAACTGCCTTATACAGTCCTGTTCCCAAGCAGAGAGGATTGGATTCTCCAGGAGGAGGAAATACCAAAATACGGAAGATAAATGATGATTATACCATTTTATGTCATTTTAGACAAATGAATTTTTATCAGAGCTAATGTTGAAATGCACGAACCTCAATACGGATCTGACAAGCGCAAAATAGATATTTTTTGTGCTCTTCATTTCAATTCTACGTTATCTAATCTAGTTGCATCTAGCTTGAAAAAAATTATTATGTGAGAAAAAATTATTATGATCTCATCAAACTTCCACTTTCCCCTTTTACTATCTTCAAACTCGGCTAACAAATGCTACAAAAATCAATAGTTTCGCATCAAGCACCTGTGATTCACAAATTGATTATCATACCTCACAAATAAAAATGAATAACTTTCAAACAACTGATTAAATCGTCTTACTAAATGACCTTAAAATGAATCGCAACTTCATGAATGATGTATCTTTCCAATTGAAAATGTTCAAATGTACAAGGATGATGAAATGATGTTAAATAGGAATATGACCAAACTTTAGAATGTGGGCTTCAACTTGGAGAACATGTGATGTAAGAAAATTTAATAAAAACAAAACAGCTTCTCAAGGGTGACACAATCGCTTCGACTTCTCAGGGATAACATCGTCATATTTCAACCAATTTACCCAAAACGTAAATAAATAATAATCATAAACCTCCCTCCTGAATCACTGCGCATTGGCTTTTTGTCGCGGCTCACCCACTGCTGAATTTTTTTGGCGTTTGTGAGAATAGTCGTCTTGAGCAGTACAGTGCAACGGGGTATACGTTTTACGATAAAAAAATACCTTAGGTTTCAAGTAAATGAACAGTAATCGAAAATAACAGCTTACAATCATAATATTTTACGATATTAAGAATTTATTTACGATTAAAAAAAACTAAAGTTCAATAAAACAATATTTTATGGAATGAAGCTTTTATTTGCTACAAAAAGTTCCTTATTTTATTGATCTGCTTTGCCGTCAACCTCATTATAACTGGGTTAATAAAATATTCAAAAAACTCAAGTGCTGAAGTACCTTGAATTTTGCAGCCTGAACTGAATTCGTCAAATTCGTAAAAATAAGGTGAGAACTCTTTGGTTGACCACTCAAATCTGCCTTTTGAAGGAAGATCTTCTTGTTCGATTTTTGAGCTTGAATTATCAATTTCCATCATATTCAAGTTTTGTTGGCTCAGATTCAAAATAAAGCTCTGTATATCTGCCACATTTTCATGTTGATTTTGCAAATTTTCAGCGTCAGATAGTTCGTCATCTAACGACAGCGAATCATATTCTTGGTCACTGTCATCGCTCTTCCAACTCTAAAATATTTGTGTAAATAACTTTACACAAATACACCTCAAAAAACAATAAAAACACTTAACATATACTGCCTTTCGTTTATGTAAACAGGTCTAAAAAACGCACTGCTAATACTAGAACTACTGTTTACCTTATCAGCTGTATAGCAGCGTTGCCATCGCAGCTAATTTCTCTCTCCAATTGGCATGTGCGAAATACCTACGCGACAATATGCGGCTAGAGCACTCAGGTCGTATTTAATTTTGAAATGCGAGTTATCTCGTCTTGAGCACTATACCCACGATCGAATATACTCGTCTTGAGCAGTGAAAGGACTCACTGGTAAATTCTGTTGGTAAAATACTACTGTCGAAACGATGTGGCAACTGCTCCAAACAACCTAACCTTTTAGTAAAGGATTGAATGTTATTTGAATAACTAAAAAATGAAAAGACATCATGACATCATGTGACAAAGACATCATCAGGCTACCGAAGATGCATTATCAAAACACAGACAAACAAACGGAGTTTCTTTCCATAAAAATATTTAACACTTTGCCTGGTGAGTGGAAAGACCTTCATATAAAAGTATTGAAGTTCAAAGTAAAAAATTCACTTGTCACCCAAGCTTTCTATAAGATTGATGAGGTATTGGTCCTAATATATGTGGGTATGTGTGTATGCATTGTGAGATTTTTCCTTATGTAATGTTATTGTAAATATTTTCGAATGTAACAGAAATTGTAATTGGAGGCCAATAAAATTTCTTTTTTTCTTTCTTACTGAATTTTACTAAAAAATGAAGATTAATGAATAATTAAAAATCAAATTATATTTCAATTTCGAAAGTAATGTGCGATTACGACACTTGGAATACTTGAAACATAAAGTATTGAGCCAGTTCTTGTTGGTAAGACATGACTAAATGTCCAAAAATCAAATAGGAACCAACAAAAATATTTCCTCCAAATATTTCTGGCTTGAAAAAAGTATAAGAGTAATTAGAGAGTCCAGAACAAGCACTGTTTTCAAATACTAGAACTGCAACATTCTTCTAGACGCGTGTTTCATCAAGCAAGTTTGTGTTTTCAGGAGATGATGTCCTATCATCTCCTGAATCTACAAGTCTTATCTACAGGACCTAGGATCTACAGGTCATATCTTGGTGTAACTCGAACTATCTCTGCTTCAATATGAATAAAACTAACATCCTACCCTTCAAGTTCAAATTGAATTATATCTATCTGAACACACATAAGGTGGGCATGTTTCTGGGCATGCACAGTTAATGAAAAACTCAAATTCGAAGACCATATTATGTCACTAAAAAAATATTTGCATCAGGCTGCTATGCAATTAAAGTGGTGTCAAACGAACTTGGTCCAGTCATTGCTACGAACACTATTTTTCCCTCATCGAATCTCATTTAGGTATGGCATAGCTTTCTGGGGTTTTGTAGCCAGAATTTATTACAATCTGCTTTTGACCAACAAAAGAGGGCTATGAGGTACTTGTGTAGGGCAAAGGCAAGGGACCACTGTAGACCGTTGTTTGTATCCTAAAAATTTGGAAACTGTCTGTTTGATTCATAACAAACAGTCTTCAAGAATTAATTTGACTCGCACTTATGTAACCACCCGAAGCAAATATCTTAGCATGCCAATACCAAAAACAGCTCTTACAAAAAATTCAATTATATATGAAAGTAGTAAAATATATAACCACCTACTGGAATATTCACAAGTACTGAAAAATCTTAAGCACTTTAGAAAGGCAGTGAAAGACTTCCTCATGTCAAAAGCATACTACGACTTGCAGGAATACTATAATGAAATTTCTGAACTCATTAAAAAAGTCCTACTGTGTTATTATTTTTAAGTAAACTTACATTTTGTATGTATCATAATGATCTAACTCAACCTTAATGATTTGTAATGTACTGAACTCATTGTTTCCCTTTCTTTAACCTTTATTTTATTAAAAATTATATTACAAAATTACTTTAATGTATAAGTTTAATTTTATATTTTGTATTATATACTTACATTTTACCTACACATATTTACATTTAATTTTTATATATATGACACTATGGATTGTACCTCAAGTTATTGCACTCATTGCTTTGTCAATAAGGACTAATTCTTGAACAATAAAGCACATTTTTGATTGATTGAATATGTATGAATGAAAAGTGTTATGTTCTAGTCGAAGCAGCTCAAATGTTAAACTTAATTTATACAAAATCTAACAGTTGTGAAGAACATCGAACAAAATCACTTATTGTTTAAAAAAAATATGAAACAAGTTCAAAGATACACAATATATCTATCTATTAAACAGATTTCAAACAGATTTTTTAAACAGATTCTGTGTCAAACTAAAAGAGGATTCATGCACCAATATTAAGTAATAACTTGTAATTCATATATTTTATGTCATAAAAGTTTGTGTAGGCAAACATTTATTATGGCTTAAGACTTATGATGCTTGGATGAAAGTTACTATCGAAAATTAAAGATCCAACTTCTTGTGACTTCAAAGTTACAATTCGAAATTTGTTAATGAAATCACCTTTAACGTTTCTAAAATTCTCACAAACAATTCCTCAGTTTGGGATGATTGACAAACTTAACTAGATCCAGCACAAGCTTTGTGAAGAATGAATGAAAAAATTTTCCATATGGTTTTAACTTTTCTAAGAGAACTGTAAAAGGATGATTCTAGTTTAAGAGAAAAATATTCGTAAGCTACATTTGAATAATCATCCAATATTTCTATCATATTTTCCATACTTAATTTTCCTGTCTCACAGAAGTAACAAAGCATGTTACCCTGCTCATCCATAGAGAGTATGTTCTAGTTTTTTTATCTAAACCGGTTCACAATAATTCACCTTAACTGTAGTAATAAAAATCAATCGATTATATTCAAAGAAATATACCTCATGACATGAGATTGATATGAGAAATCAACTGTTCTATGACAAACTACATCAATTGTTGACACTCACCGATAATCGGCAAGCTGATGCCTTGTTCCTCCACTAGCACCTCCTCCCATAGATCCTTCAGACGAAAGATTACGAATCCAATCTGGACCAAAGTTCATGGAGTCAGTCATCCTAGAACGTAATAATTTAAAGATATTGAACTAACATATTCTTGGGTTACTTTATAAAGAAGTAGAGTATGAAAAACTACAATGGTACTGCCCTGGTAAAAACCAGGACCTATTAAAAACCAATATAAATATGGAGAAAACTATTTTTAGAAGTGAGTATAACTTATTTTGAAGGCTATTGGAAATATTAAAACATAATCCCACATTAAAAACTTTTGGTGGTTACAGCTGTTTTTTTATTTTCAAACGTGTTCGTTACAAAGCAACATAAGACATCAGGTACACATAGACAAGGTGGCACTTGGTTTCCAAGTTTTGAACTATCTTGAGGAATATTCGTAATCCATTCGAAACTGGTAATGTTATTTTTTTCTCATAATCCCCAGCCTCTTTTGTAATGTCCAAGTATAAACAATTCTACTTTTTACCTGAAAATAGTTTCTTTTACACTTGGTAAAATGCGAACAACATAAATGGCTGCAGTGAAATTGTAGGTTATCGCGCATGTGCTCAAATCCTCGAATCCTTGGAACGTATGTCAAGTGTTCAAAATAGGAGGGAAATTTCTTGATTTGAATATTTTTCACTGAAATAACTTTTCCGTCACTGTTTTATCTTGAGAAAAACACATTTTTGTTGAAATCATACAAAACTTCTTCTTCGAGATCAAGTTCTACTTTTCACGATTAGCAGTAAAGAATATAAAACTGAGGGTGATTTCTATGTTTATAGATATTCAAAGCGTTTTTCATTTGCAGAACCAGTGCCATATAAACGTATTCAATTAATGTTCCACTAGTGTCAGTTTAAATGTTCCATTCGAAAAGCTAGGTCGTATAGGATTGCATCCAGAGTATATTTTGTAGCACGGGATTTTAGAGGAATTGAAATTTTAGTTGAGAAACCAGTGGGCAAAATTAACAATTTTGTCACACATGATAGTAATCAATTACAATAATATTGAAGTTAGTTAGGCGGAAGTAACTCATTCGCAAAAAAAATTATCTTTCAGTACCCATCGACGAACTTTCAGAAAAAGGAAAGAAACAGTTTTCAGTTGCTCGGGTACATCCTAAATCTTCTATTTCAATAGCCACACACTCTTGCTATTTTTGTAGTGAGTAAAATAATTTAATTTATTAACTCCAGTATGTCAAAAGACCCTTTTGACTTTTATCTTTTCAACAATTATCTCATCCAGTATCTTAGTTTTTTCGCTTCTGCTCAAGAAATTCGATTATGGGAACAACAGAAAACATTTCACACTCGTTTTTGTGTGTTTGGCGGATTACGAGTTTAGAGTTTTTTATCCAAAGTACTACTAGTTTTTTGTTTCTGTTTTTGAAAACGACATTAGACATGTTATGAAATGTATTTCACCGGTTCTGCACCTATAGTAGTGACAATTGAACACTATTAAAACTCAAATCGATCGGAATTTACGGTGACATCTGCCATCACTAATCACATACATATCACAGAGTCACAGATGTTTTACGTCGACAGTAATATCACAGAATAGTAATTGATTCTGTGGTAATATATATAAATAGTACCAATTTAAATTGACCACTAAGAAGACGAAACCAAAACCATTCGTTTGAAAAAAGTAACTATCAACCGCTGATGATACAGAACGTCGATGGCAAACATTTTATAATCTCGAAAAAAAAATAATTTAGTCTCCAAAAAAAATCGACAGCAGTCCAAATTTAATGCTATTTTCAAATTTGATGGGTAGGATTTTGACAAAATTAAAAGAACGTTTGATTGAAAATCACACAATTTAACATCTGACAACATAACCAAAAATTGTTTATTGCTTGTGGATGTGATAATGAATGCTGGTCAAGTTGAAGAAACTATTGCTAGATAGTAGTTCAGTCATTGATGAAGAATTTCTTTTATACTCGCATTTTTGTAAATATCAAATCAAAACTCATCATCTATTAACCTCAACCGATGGGCTTGTAGCATCAGTGGAACTAAGCAGAGTTGATAAATTGAGGAGTGTCACCAGATACGAACCCTGCGTGTCACATCTAGATTCATCCAGCAACGAAAAACGATTTTTGTGTCTCGACAGGTTCATTGGTAAAATTGAGAGTTTCGAAAGGATGGTTCTGAATCTGAAGTGCATTTTTTCAAATTTTTGGCATTTTTTATATGAAAAAAAGATTGTATTTCACTTGAAAAAGAGAAAAGATTTCATATTAGAATATTGTCTACACTTGATGTCGAATTTATCGCGAACTCTTAAATATAATATCAAGAACGGGGGTATCCTTTCCTTATATATACAATTTATCTGATATAATTTTCAAGAAGGATCCATTTCTCATGAAAACCTGATTTATTTTTTCCGCTTGAAGTTCACCACAATAGTAAAACATTTCCAATCTGTGAATTTTCAACTTTTATTAAATTCAAACTTAACAATGATATTTGTTGTATTCTATTTAGATATTACTTTGTTTTTCTTCTTTTTCCTTTTATATTTCTTGAATAGTTTAGCCTCTTCTTCGTCAGGATCAAGCCCCTCTAAAATCCACTTCTTTCGTTTGTTTATCAGACTCTTTTCGAAAAAGTCCCCCTCATCTAACTTAAGAAAAGCTTCACTTTTTGTGACAGATATTTGCGTGAATATCTTTCCTACTTCAGTTTCTGAAATCAATCATTAAAAGTATAAACCCATCAAATAAAAGAATAAAATTGAGATGAAATCAATGACTTAGAAATTTATAAAAATTTATGTTGGTAGAGCTGTAATAAACTTACCATCAACCTTGAATTCTTTCAAAGTTGTTTTAATCAGCTCTTCGATTGATTGTAATAATTTGATATCAGATGGAGTCAACAGAGTGATGGCCTTTCCTATCCTTCCTGCCCTTGCAGTTCTACCAACCCTGTGGATGTATTCTTTAGGAACTTTTGGAACTGAATGATTTATTACCAACGATACCGTTGGTATATCCAGACCCCTGCTAGCAACATCTGTTGCAAATAGAATTTTTACAGTTTTACTTTTGAATTTAGCTAGTCCTGCAAGCCGTTGTTGTTGCGGACACATTGAATGAAGAGCTACATTGTCGAAACCAACTTCATTTAAAGTCATTGATAAAACTTGACAACTCCTGAAAATGTAAAGTCAATAATTATGTGAGTACCTATAAAGAATTTCAAAGCCTATTGTTGATCACAAATCTAAAGTGAGTCTAACTAAGGATGAGACTATGTAGTGAAACGCATATTGGAAATAAAGTGTATATACAGAAAATTTGTTATCATTGTCATGAATAGTGTTACTGAATTCCGCCAAGTTACTGGTCAGTATAGTCAAAAAAAAAGTTAAAATTTACTTGATGGAATCTATTTTAAAGAGATACACCACACACACACATATACTGCCTCTAAAATTTCAAATTAATTCACTTCGTTCACTTTTTTGAATATTTCCTTTACTCAACTTGATTACTCACTTGCAAGTATCTGTAAAAATGATAATACTCCCATCCTCATCTTTCTCCCTGTATTCTCTAATAACCTGGACTAGATATGCTTCTTTGACATCTTTGGAGCAGAGTACATAGAACTGTTCTAGTTGATCTACGGTAGCTACTTCAGCAAGAGAAGGGTCCTGATAGAGAATAACTTCTTTGTTGCTGATTTCTTTCAAACTCTCCAAGGTATCTGTTATGGTTGCAGAAAAAAACAAATTCTGGCGACTTTTTGGCAAACTTGCGAAAATTGTCTTTATTCGATCATCAAACTGTCCACCGAGAAGTCTATCAGCTTCATCGACAACTAAAAATTTTATCCGGGATAATGAAAATGTTTTACAACTTTCCAAGTGATCCGCCAATCGACCAGGGGTTGCTACTACAATATGCGGATGCCTTGACAACTGGATACCTTGTTCAACCATGTCGATACCTGAAAATGATCTCATTTCAATAGAGAACTGAAATTTTTAGTTATCATCTCAAAAACTTTATCACACAAATTATAGAAAAAACAATGGTAAAAATTGGTCCCAGAAAACCTACCTGTTGATTTAGTATCTATTGTTTAATTAGTACATCAAAGAAAGAGAAAGTAGAAAGTCGGATATAGTTTCAAACCTTTTCCACTGACTAAAGCTATGTCATCAGCTTTAAATTCAAAGAGATTTTTTGTGCATCTTTTGGAAAAAGTTGAAGTAGATTACTTGAAAATATATTCGAAAATAAAAAAGTATCGTCTGAAAAAATTGTTTTGTTTTTATAGGCAGACTTCTTGATTTATTAAAGAGAAAATTGGAAACAATGTTCCAATAATAGTGAAAATTGTTTGTGGGCTTTGCCTGTTATATTGATAAACTCAAAAGCAGACATGGAGACATACCTGAATATCAAACTAGAAATAACCATTAAATGCAAGCAATAATTACTTCCAAATAATAGTCAAATGGTCAATTTTTAATGAATGTAACAATCTATAACAAATCACCTTTAAATTATTGAATATAAGATGTTGACTTTTAATCTTTGATACCTTTCATTATTAAAATCTTCTGGAAGAAGACCAGTCTCGACTGGTCAACCATACTCTTCTCAACCATATTTGAGCTACTATTTTATTTCACGTCATACACATAAGGGTAATAAATATCATTGTTATAATTAATATCTATCATATATGTCTACAAATTTACCCAAAACCAACTTTGGTATTCCTAAACAGGAAAGGTGAGAAAAATAGTTGGGACAAGCTCGGTTAGGTCAGAATAAAAGAGACAACTGGCGTTATTACTATTGATAGCAAATGTTTTAAAAAATATTTGTCATTTCATGTGGTATTTACAAATGATGAAATATGATACTATATTTTCACTTCGTATAAATAATGAAAATAACCAAATGTTTTCTCATTTCATACAATAAGATTCTTTCACATAAAACTCTCTCCATTACCTCCAACAATAACTGAGCATCGAATATTTATTGGTTTTCCCACAATGGCAAACTGATCAGCTATTTGATAAGCAAGTTCCCTGGTTGGTGTCAGTACTAATGCAAATATACCATAGGGATCTTCACATAATTTTTGTATGATCGGCAAAGCAAATGCCAAAGTTTTTCCACTTCCTGTTTTGGCTGCTCCAATACAATCAACCCCTCGTAATATTTCGGGAATACAGTGTATCTGTATAGGGGTGGGAGACTTGACCCCTAAAACATCAAATAAAGGTACAAGGAGAAGAGGCAATAAACACATACATTACCTATAGTGGAACATTGTCTAATTATCCATTTATTCAAGTTTAAATCATCAAAAGATTTATCACCTGACATGATACAATTCCTTTCTCTCTCTTTCTCAGAAACAGATCAGCAGTTTTTCATCGAATCATTATATTTGGTGTTAAAAATGAATGAACATAAAAAAAACATGTATTTTAATCCAGTATTCGTGTTATGGTCGAAATTTCGTACCGTTAACCTATTTTTCTTCTTCTAGTTTCTAGTTATACGGTAATTTCTTCTTCTGTCTCAGGCGCATTCGATTAGCGTACATATAATTTATAACATTGGGGGTACAGTCGGACTTGCTCTAAACAATGCCGTACTAGCCGTACCCATAACCTATCTTTAGTCTCCTGGGGCCAAATTTTAGAGACAATAATTATTGTTCACTGGAAAGTAACTTCAAAATAGAATAGTTTGACATTCTAGTGCATATGTTTATCATTGCGGGTAGGTGAATATAACGTCAGATTCTATAGGAAAAAGCTCGTCATGACCCAAAAATAAGGGCGGCCGTACGAATTACCGTCCTTGAACTTATAAAGAAAAACTATTGCGCGTCAAATTTCAATCATTTCACTTGGTTCAGATAGAGCTTCAGTGTTGTTATAAAGATTATCTGAAGAGTGTACATCAGATATTAAAAGAGTGTACTTTTCTATTTTGCGTTTACAAATACAAATTGACCGAGATTTTGGATTATGCACATGCGCTACGTTCTGATAAGTTTCAAATAATGTGAATGACATCAAACAAATCGAACACAGAATATAGGTCACAAAAATTTGACTCCTTAACATCAAAGTGCCGACAGATGAGTGTCTCTTCTCTAAGATATTCTTTGGAGAGAGAGAAAGAACACAAATCAAATTCTCAACAAAGACGTAAATTTTGTGACCTATGTTAGAATAGTATTAAATCAACTCGGTAGGGAATAAAAATGAACTAGAAGACTTTAATGTTAATGTATAACAAACTGCACAAATGTATAGCACATGAAAACCTTTGTAGAGCATGGTGTAATCTATATGTAATAATAGTGTCTTTCAATTATTTCGCTTTTAGTCAGTCAGCTACTCTGTACTCACTAGTATCAGTCAAATATTCTTGGTATGATAACTTTTGAACCCTTCTTCACGTAAATATTTTGGTGAAAACTCTCGATCTACAGCACTCTCGGTTAAGAAATAATAAAGATATTCAATAAATTTCAGCATTCCATTCACAGAAATGCTTACAACTTAAGTGATGCAGATTGACAGTGTTAACTTGGCATTTCTATTCTCAACTGGCATACTGGCAATGGTGACAAATACACAGAATAAACAATAAAAAAAATACATGTTCTGAAAACAAAATCCTCTTATTGATTCGGACCATGAAATGAATGCAATAAAAACAACTACTCCATAAACTAAACCATGAGTTTCAAATTTCGATTATGAATAAAATAGAAAATACTGCCCGATGAATATTAAATTTGCTAAACAGATAGCACCGGTAACAAAATCGTCATTTTTCGTGAAATCGAATGGAACTGAAAAAATTGTTTTCTTGTATAACCAAATTATAAATGATTGGGAAAACTCCGAACCAAAAGATAGTTGAAATTTGTATGGCGGTAATGTTCAATATAATATTCAGGATTTTAATTTGCACGGCACTCCTTTATTAGGCCCTTGGGGGTAAGTATACACCAAAACTCTGAAAGGAATCTAAGGCCTTGCATAGTCACATGCCGAATGCGAATTTCAAAAGAATTCACAGTGCGGACGTGAATTATCCCCTGCGCTCGTTTTTTGAACGGGGTAAGATTTCAAAATCGGACAAAAATCAGGGATCTGTCTATTTTTTTGCAAATGGAAAGGGGTGGTATTGCGACCCTTCGCTTGGAGGATATTTCAATTTTCTATACAACGATTTTTGCTGTTTTGTGTTGGAATAATCAACAAAATGATATTTTATTTATCAGATTTACCTGAAGGCAATATTGTAAAATTAATTTACGACTAGTAGATAAGGAAACATGTAAAATCAATTTAGGAATATTAAGATGCAGGTACCTAGCATGGGTATCTATAGTATAAATAAGGATAATATTGTATGAAATTTAGTTTGATCTTCCTCTCGAAACACGTGTAGAGGTGTTTAAAATTACAATTTGGTGTTGGGATAAAACTCCAGTAATATTTATCACTACACCAAAGATTCCAAACAGTGCATCACAAGTTCTTTAAATCCAATCACTTCTTGAGATAGTTCTACTTTCTTCTACAGGGGGCGTACGTAAATAAATTTTTCACTTTTCTATTCGGAATAACAGCCACTGCCACATTTGTTTTCTTTGAAATTTGACTTTTGGCATATCGCTGTCACAGTACTCACAGTGTATATTATATATGTTACCACGTTGCAAGTACTTTATTATTTGAATAAATTGGATTTTGTGTAGAAAACTTTTTAAGTTGTATTCTTGTCTTATCAACATGGGAGAATAGATGACAGCGATGATTTATTTCGTCAAAACTTGTCGGGGGTGTACATTGTCTTATGTTCTAGTCGATCATTGGCTTAAAAACACGTTGTTTTGGCGTTTTTATTCTATTTCAGAGCTTCCGTGTTCAGCTCTAATTGGTAGCTGGGATACCCAGCGGATATTTCCTTCTATTTTCGATTTGGAAAGGAGGTGACCACGACATTTTTTTTATTCAATGTTTCATTGATCTATTGTTATGTGATTCCCCAAAAACTGTTCAACCCAAATTAAGGTAATTCACAAAATTTAATTAGGTGAGTTATCTGAAGTTTGATTTGGACATAGAAAACCAGATTTCTTTGCTCCTAGACCAAGAAAGTTACAGTATGACAATGTATATTTTTCATATTTCATAACGTTTAAAAAAATTTTGACTCAATGATGAAGGGATCGGGGTGGATTGATGCACTAGTCTTGAATCGTAAGCATTTGGATTATTGAATTTCATTGAATAATCGATAATTTGAGATATTGAATCTATTATCAAGATGATAAGAGTTACTCCTTATGGACAACCAACCAGAGCAGGGAATCTCTATTTTCAACAATAATGAATTGTGTCAGTTTTCTACTGACAAAATTAACAATTTCTGCATTATAGAAATTTATTCATTACCAACATAATTAAATTTGAAAAAATTCTGAAAGCATCTAGTTTTGTACCTACAATAGTCCAATTGCAATCCCATAGAGCTGTGCATTGGGTCCAGTACTGATCAAAACCTAAATAAATGACTTGTGAAACTACTATGCTGATGTTACCTCTGCAATTCTTTCCAACAATGACATTATACTTTCAAAACATTCAATTCCTGGTTTTCACCCAACTAACTTTATCCCAAAACTGAAAAAGCACGATTTCTTCCAATTAAAAAAAGTAGTCATAAGTTCTTGAAATCAATTTGGGAATTTCTTACAATCAAGTAGTGCAACTGTCAAGTTTCTAGATATACATTTTTATAGAATCTTTAGTTGGAAAACTTGCTGCGATAAGTATAAGAAAATAATTATTTCAAACTGAAATCTAGAAACATTCATCTCTGCCCAGCTTCTTATAAGTAATTATATCTCCTCGATATAGTTATTCAGACTCATTTTGATCATGGTAATGAGTTCATCATTACCCTAGATTAACAAAACTATTTATTTAAAAACTTACGAAATATCTTGTCACAAGAACAACTACTCAATAGTCACTATGGGCTTGTTGAATCAAGGTTCAAGCATGAAGTTTTTGGGATTGTTCCATGCAAACACAATGTATTTTTGGGTCAAAAAATCGGCCCCATGAATATCTTCATATACTTTTCAATTCATAGTAAGAATATCAGAGTCAAAGATGATTTTGATATCCTGCAAACAAAAAATTGTCTCTCACCAGCTAGTGCTCGCTTAACATTTTTAATAAAGTGCCTAATGATTTGAAAGTTTGCTCCAAAATTTCAAGTGGAAATTCAGATTAACCTCATAGTGAAATGTATTTGCACCATAGCAGATTTTTATTTTTCAATTATATTGTCTATGTTTTATGTATGTGTACAAGGTCTTTTCAAAAAATAGGGTGAATGTTCAAATTAAGCACTGCAAATTCCAAGGTTCTGCTAACTGTTGTCTTCAGTTACGTCACATAGTGCATCAGTTCTTGTTACATGATCGTACAGTAACACTTGTGAGAAGCGATACGAAGAAATCACCCGGTGTTGTGGAGAAACAATTGACGTCGTTTGCTGAAAAAATTGTAATACTGCCGTTCTGTATCTCCACCTGACGATTTCTGTACTACTCACCTTTACGAAAGAAAATAAATATCACATCCATCGACTATGTTTTCAACATTTCAAAAAAATGGGAGTTAACCATTTGGTGCGATTTCCTCTATGAATTTGAATATGGAGTCTTGTTTGCATTTAAGCAATTCAGTAATACATTCAGATCATGATTTCGATCCAAACAATAGAAAAACATGTCTGTTTTCATTTGTGTTACTCCTCATTACTTTGTAATACAAGTCGCCGTTTTTTCACGTGCCATTGAGATTTTTCATGTCTTCCCAAACTTTTTATTTGACCTTCAAATTAAATTAGGTGCAAAATTGTGGAAATTTAATACCTCCATTGTTGAACATTTTTTCAGTCAGACACATGCCTTCTTTTTGCAGTGACACTTTTTTTTGGTTTCAGTTTACGTTTAGTATTTCTTGGAATTATTCTTGATATTTGTTCATTTAGTTTCAGTTCAATTTTAAAAATGTGGGTGTTGGAGGAGAATTTGGATTGTTGCACACCAATAAGGGTATATGCATTTTCGTTCCTATTATTTTACTTTAATGGCATACCTAGAATAATTTATTGTTCACATATTTGAATACCTTTCCAGCATTGAAAGAAGATTAATAGTGTTTTCTTACCCTATTTACAAAGGTATCAAAAAATAAAAAACACTTTCATTGCTACTTTCCAAGCTGTACAAGATGGCATTTGCAGATTTTTAATCCAACGTGACGTTTTTAAAAAACCACAAATTTAAATTTTTTATGAGAGCAGAAAAACAACCATCTCCTCGTATAATTGAAGGATTTTGGCCATCTAAGACAAAATTTTATCATAATCAACAATTCAATATATTTACCAACATGAATTGAGATAAATCCTAAGCATTTCTGATAAATCATCAAAAACAGTTGAAAGAAACTGAAGAGAAGTGTTTGCAGCTAGTTTTCCAGCAAGATGATTTTTCAGCTGTCTAGTACTTTTGCAAACAAGTGGCAGTTTTAATTGATAAGTTTTTCATTCTGGTTTTCAATAATAATAAATTTTAACAATAATTATACTTGTAGAGTTTTGGTCTGGTATAATTATTAAATTGTTGATATTTGTGAGTTTGCATCATGGTAGTATTTTAAATTATTATAAGTTGTTAATAATGTGCAATGGAATGTATGTTTTCTTGTATTAAATATTTCGCCTTCATCATATAGTATAGTTCAAGTAAAAGATATAGTGCCCCCTACCCTTTAGCAGTTCCCCTTTAATAACACACACAACGGCGGTACTCATCGCTACATTCTGTTGGTCGCCGTAACATGACTTCAAATTTAATTTTATGACTCTTTAGCCAATCATAAAACTCGGTTAGTAAAAATTATCCAATACGAACCGCCAATTCTTCAGTCCACGTGGACTAATTCGTTGCGGCATAATTCCTTTGTATTGGTTTTTTTGCCTTTGACTTCGCCACACCTTTAAGATTACTATATCGGTTACTTCGACTATACCTGCATGTAACTTTTTTTATTCCGAGGGTTTTGGACCATTTATATAGATATGTAGAAAGAAGTTAAATATTCCACCTCATGTTAGACAATACTACACTTCTCCAGAGCTCCATATACAGTGAGCATAATTTTTTATTCAGTATGCTTCTGTCCAACAAAAGCGTTGCTCCACTAAGACATCTAAGTATTTTATCAGCTTTTTTTTTATAGAGCAACATGTGTAAGGAAGTCTTGTATGTCTTTCTTCAATGCAGTAATTATACCGTCCCCTATTTGAATACTCATAGCACATTACTCACTTTAGGTCACCATAATGAACAAAACACCAATATCCATACTGCAAGAATATCTGGTCCAACAGAAGAAGGCTTTGCCAACTTACACAGATGAGATATCAGATTTACCAGAATATAATTTCAAATGTACAGTTAGATTTGAAAATACAATTGTGTCCGGCTATGCTAATGCAAAAAAAGAAGCGAAACAAAGGAGTGCCCAACTAGCCTTGCAAAAAATGGGCCTTGTCAATGGTTACAATAATACTGTAGATTTCTTGAAGGATATTTCAAACAAGCCTATGACTTCAACAAACAGATGCCTTCCATGTGAAAATTTTATTGGACAATTGAACGAACTTGCTTCAGCTAAGGCAAAACCTTATCCTAGCTATGAGGAAGGTTTGGTGGCAATTAATGGACAGTTCTGGGTGAAATGCCAATTTTTAGAATGGAAATCCTTGGGTTATGGAAACAATAAAAAAAGTGCAAAACAGAATGCTGCAAAAGGCATGTTGGAAATGTGAGTAAATATTAATGAAGGCAATGGTTTTTAAGAACACTGAAAATTGTTCTCATCAACATATTGTTTAATGAAAATGTTTTTTTCTGAAATAGTATCTCTCAAAAATATTTTTTTCGTGTTTTTAGACTGAAAGACAAAACTATTCCCATAAATTCAAGAGAAAACTTGTTGCTTAATAGCGAGAAAATGGAGAATATCAATAAATTATGTGAAGCAGCACTCAGGAAATATAAAGAATTAACAATCGAAGAAAAACAAACTCCTAGTCCACAAACAATTTTGCCGAAGCCTAATTTGAGGGTGAGTAAATACATATATGTGTGTGTTTATTAGAACTGGTGATGAGATATTCTCAGTGACTTGGTGTCGTAATGATTATTACTGTAGTTTCATCCAAACACCAAATCGTTTAATTTGGTGTTGAGATAGAGCTCCAGTTAAACTCAGCGTTTACTTATTTTCTGAAACAAATATTGTGTAACATTTAGTTTTTACTGTATTCTAAACATACAAAATGGGCGTGTGTCAACGAATAATAAAGAATATTTTTGTTGGTAGCCTAAAGTTTTCTCACTGGAAGAATTACAAAGCGAACTGAGACTTGAAGGGCACGATAATTCTATAGAGACATTCCAGAGGGACCCATTTGTGATGATGCTCAAAATAAAAGGAACCAATTGCAGAATAATGGGTCAAGGAACTACTAAAGAGGAAGCATGTGAAGACTTGCTTAATTCTGCTGTCCTCATGTTCAATAATGGATTTTCATTTGTGGCCAGTTCTTAACTGACAGATAGAACTCGAAACAGTAGAGTTAGAGATGTAGAATGAATCCAACATATCGGACCTGCAACTCTTCTCTACTCGTTTTATCAACTGGTTGGTGTCATCAGAAGATTAACTATATCGGTATAGTTGAACTATAGGAGTATAGTTCATCTCCTGATAACGCCACATTTGTTGATGCAAAGCGCGTCGAGAAAAGTACTGCAGTTGCGTTATATGGGACAAATATTTTCAATGGAAACAGCTTTCAATGTTACAAGTTATGTTTTATGTGATTTTAATATGTTTCTGTATAGTGAAGTTATACAAAATATTCTATTAGAAAAAATATTAAGATGTATATGATAATTTAGATAGTATTTTTAGGTATACATAGTTTATCGGTAATCAAGAGTCGGGAAAGGAATTTGTGGTTATTTCATAACAGAGTAACATATATTTGCAAAAAAAAACAGTTCTAATAATGCTCAATATTAATCTATGATTCAAATTAACATTTTAAGAATATTTCTTAAGAATTGAATAGCATTTTATACAGAAAAGTAATCTTGAAAAATAAGCTCTAGGTTACTCGTCGTACTAGTCACAAATTCGCGCCGAATTTTCAGGAGGTCATTTGATATGTTTTGAAAATGTTTGATTTTTATAGTTCGGACATAAAAAATTAGTTTTAGCTGTATGCCGTCAGTAGTAGGTGGTGCACGTGAAAATCTTAGAAAGGTGTAAACAATAATCCAAGTGGGGGAGTAATTTGGCAAAAGACTTTCATAAATTTAGATACTAATTATGATAGGATTCAACCAAAGGTCGCACACAAAAATTGAAACATTTTCATTTTCGGAAAAGTGACCTCTATCTGCTTAAGTGATAAATTCCTGTACGATTTTCCTGAAATTAGTTTTTTATATCATGGACATTTGCATTGAACCATAATTCTAGGATAGGGGTTTGATTTTACATTTACCATCCAATGAACTAACGATTTTATATGTCATGATGAATAAAATGACTCGTTTTGATATGAAAAACATATCACAAAAGTCGTAGAGGAATATATGACTTTAGTGTAAAGAAGTCACTTGTACGAAAATGGATTTTTTGTGCGGCCTTTGGTTAGGAGAAAACTCACTCGTAATTAATATCGCCCCGGAGCGCCAATTAATTTTTGTTGTTTTATAATTTCATGATTTGTGTTTCAATAATGTGCAATGGAATGTATGTTTTCTTGTATTAAATATTTCGCCTTCATCATATAGTATAGTTCAAGTAAAAGATATAGTGCCCCCTACCCTTTAGCAGTTCCCCTTTAATAACACACACAACGGCGGTACTCATCGCTACATTCTGTTGGTCGCCGTAACATGACTTCAAATTTAATTTTATGACTCTTTAGCCAATCATAAAACTCGGTTAGTAAAAATTATCCAATACGAACCGCCAATTCTTCAGAGATCATGAAAAATAAGAAATAAAACTTTCTATGTTTTTATACTACTTGTATCTGTAACTAACGTTACTGCTGTTTTGTCGTACAAGGACATTTTCAAACTGATATAATAAACTCAAGTTTACAAGAACATCTTCAAACTAATAGAATGAAATTAAGTTTATTGTGTTAGTTTGAAAATGTCCTTGTAGGACGACACTGCAGTAAAGTAAAATATATGAAGTTTTATTTTTCATAATATCAACTATTTATAGAAACATTACAAGAACTTTTGGCAAATTACCCCTCCACTCAGATTGTTTTCACTTTTCGTGCACCACCCACAACAAACGGCAAAAGGCCAAACTATTTTTTGCAGGACTATAAGAATTATACATTTTGAGAGGTATCATCTGACCCCTAAAAATTTAGCATAAGCTGCAGTTTGGTCTGTATAGTCATTTTGTTTGTTTGTTTATTCACGTTGACCACAATACCCTCTCCAAATTCGTTATCAGCCCTTTGGCTTCAGGAAAGGAATAATGTTTTATAGGTATGTAATCATCAGGGTCGTGGTCTAAAAAGAAAATATAAAAGCCAATCAAAGATGTTTAAATCAACAAATGTATTTATTGAAAATGGTTTAACTTGTAAGTTTTCAAGTGAAATTTCAATACTTTTATATTATAATTTTTAGAATGGCAAGTTCCATATTTATGAACTTTTTCTTCATGAAAATATTCCAAATATTTTCATGTTCCTTCCAGATCAATTTTAAAAAACTTTTTTGGGAAAATTGTGGCATTTCAATACTTTTTCATTACAGTTTTCAGAGTTGCAATCAAGTTCTATATTCATGAACTTTTTCTTTATGAAAATATTTCAGTTGACGCTAATTGGATACTGAAAAATTATTAAGTGCTTTCCAGATCAATTTTCAAAAACTTTTTTGAAAATTGATCTGTATATTTGTTTGCAAAAATATGTTAAGTGTGTTGTAATTTTTCAAGTGGCATTTCAATACTTTTTCATTACAGTTTTTAGAGTTGCAATCAAGTTCTATATTTATGAACTTTTTCTTTATGAAAATATTCCAAATATTTTTTGATCAATCAATACTTTTTCAGTTGATGCTAATTAGATACTGAAAAATTATTAAATGCTTTCCAGATCGATTTCAAAAACCTTTTTTGAAGAAGTTTACTTTCATATTTGTTTAGAAAAATGTGTTCATGTCAATAATGGAATTGCTTGTGATATAAATGTAAAAGTTTCATGATTTTACCACTATATTTATTTACTTATTTATTTCAGGGGAAAAGCCAATTCATATTCAATTTTTAAACTAAGAAATTGATGAAACAAATAAGTGTGCTGCTCATCATGAAAAATGAGAAATAAACCAATATTTTTTACCACTTGTATTTATTGTAACTAACGTTACTGCAGTTTCGTCCTATAACGACATTTTCAAACGTATAAAAAAAGTTTATTGTATACGTTTGAAAAATTATTATAAAATTTTGTGTGAAGTTACTGTATTTCCAGTAGTTTTCATGAAACATATGAAGGTTTATTTTCAGTGGGGGATTAGACAGGATGACATTTGGAGGTAATTTATATGAAAAATTAAAGATATCAGTAATGAATATTGAAAAATTAACGATTTACTATTCATGTTATGAAAATTTTACAAAATTATAAAGGGTATATTCAAATTAAACTACAAGGAGCTTACAATCAACTTGTATGAATAAAAAAAAACTATTAGATTTGTCATCCTTACATAAATTCAAATTATGTACCTTCATTCATTTGGTCAAAAATAAACTCAAAACATTAATATCTGACTCTCACAATCAATTGTGACCAACACAACCATTCGACATTATATTCAGACAATCTAAAATTATTGAAAATGAAAACAAATATTGGGCAAAATTGGATTTACTATAAGGGTATCAAGTTTTACAATGAGTTTTAAAAAACTCTAATGTATATAAATTCTGAATTTGAAAAAATATTCATTGCTTCAAAACTGTATCTATATATATGCATATATGTATGTATAGGTATAGTATGTGTGTGTATGTATAGTATGTATTATATTGTGTGTTTATAGATATATTCTCGGATGTGTGCATTTATGTATATGTTGATAATTATCAGTTCTGATTAATCTTTTTTTAGTGCTCTATTCGTACTTATGTGTAATTTTGAATTATTTGTTTTTTCCCTACTATGAACATTGTATGTTTCTTGGGAAAATAAATCGCTACTATCCTGTCGTTTTGTTAAGATTGATATTTTTTTTAAAAAAGTTGACAATTTACTCGTACAGAGATCTACAACATTCGAGTATGAATGAAAGTCGTTCAATTTTTTTTCGAATCGTTAAAAAAATTGATTTGAAAGTTTAAACCCACTTTTCATCCTTCGGACACTGAAGCGCTCATTCATCCTTTGAAGAAACGTTTGAATTATTTGTTTGCCACCTCGGATTCTTGGCAAATTGCAACCAACCACGCCTAAATCTTTTCAGTTTTTTCTCTATAGCAGTCCGATCGTGGAGATGTGTTTACTCAATAAGTTTTCCTAAACCTGAGTCACAGTTCAATACATTAATCAGCAATAGGATTCATATTTTATTTTATAGTCTTCCACAAACCCTTCAACTAGCTTTGCTTCTTGTTATTGTCTAGAATATTTGTAATTAGAGTATTTTATATAAATCGAACAAAGGAGCATACACTGGTTTGTCTCATCCTTCCCTTAATTATTATTTGTCTCAAAATGAAAAACTTCGCTGCACTCGAATTTCAACAGTGTGTACGCCCTGTATTTCCCAGCACATCAACAACCAATCAAAACGTGAAAGAAGTCCAATAAATGGTTATGAAAGATCCCCTTATCACAATTGGAGAAGTCACTAATGATGTTAGCATATCAATTGTTTCATTCCATGAAAGTTCTTCGAATGTTTTGGGTATGTAAAATTTTTGAATTTTGAACGAAACCATCGGCGAATTAAAGTTGCTCAAGAGTAAATGAAGTCAACGACGATGCACAATAACGAAATTTGGATTCATGAATATGACGTCAAAACTAAAGCTGTTATTCCTGAGGATGAATTCTGGCTTGCCAAGACCGGAAAAGGCTCGACATTTGTGGTCAAATGATGGCATAGTGCATCATTTTTGCCGTTAGGCAATAAGGAGTACTACCTACAAGTTCAACGGCGTTCGCGTGAAGTAATCCACAAAAAATTACTGACTTATGAAAAACCAAATCATGGCTTTTGAACCTCAATAATGCACCTAATCACACGCCGTGAATTTTTGGCCAAAAACAATACTGTAACGATGCCCCAGCCTTCATATTTGCCAGGCATGGCTCTGTGTGACTTTCTCCTATTTCCAGAAATATAGAGAACCTCAAAGGGGGCATCGCCGAAAGATCGAGTTTTCGAGGATTGGAAGAAGCGCCACGACGTCACGAAAAATGTAATATTGCTCAGTTAATGCCTAAATTTGATATTAATTTACTATAAATATTGTCTGAAAACTGTATCGAGGAGAGATACATGAAAATGAGTATTTTGAAGTAAAATCTCGACATTATCCAAGCAGTTTGCCATTCGTTTGGAGAAAATCTCGAAATTTATTCTACATCATTGAACTTGAGATTAAAATTACCATTCATTATAATGTCACTATTAGTGGATATCAACAAAGTAATGAAAATGTAGGTTACTGAGATACATTTTTATTTAAAACTAGAATACAAATTCTGATATCCTTCCATCCATAACTACAGAAACCATCGATTCCTTCAGTAATAGTTTCACTTTATGAAAGTAAAGTTGACTGTAGGAAAATCTATGGTGAATTAGTAACAAGCTCACTCGAGTTTTACAATTTATAATCATTTTTCAATAAATGATCTTGTGAAGCTTACAATGTTTTTCATAATCATATTGAGAGATTGAAAAACCATTATATACATTCTCATAATGAAATAAAACTGTTTCAACGAGAATTTAACAAGGTAGAATTTGCAAAATAAAGTTTCACTAAAATTCCTGTACATCTCCTACTTCAAATTAATATTAAGTATGTCTCAAACCAGTTAAGCAAGTCAGATATTGAATAGAATTCACTTCATTTCAAAACTAATTAATACAGTTCATTGTATGATTTTCACTATAAAGGTTTTTATAAAAACCGTGACACGTGTTTCGCTATTAGCTATTGTATATCGAAACATGTGTCGCAATTTTTCTAAAACCCTTTATAGGTCATCATACAATAAACTGTATTAATTAGCTTTGATATGGATTATCATCAAGTATCGGCCACTTATATTCAACCACTTCATTTCATTTCGCACCACACTTTTTTTGTACCGTCATCTAGGTTTTGACTTAAACCCCTTTTTTATTGATATAATTATTATCAAGTTATATAAGAATTAAATATTTTGAATTTTTTTGACCTGTTTTCAAGACAAAAAAAACTTCTAGTTCATCCTGATAACACCAATATATTTTTCTCTAAAAAAAACTCCAACTCATCAATAAGTTATCGTATTTAATTTTACCAATGCAAAAAAATCTTAATGACACTTATCCTGAAAATTTGCTCCTGTCGGCAAACTGCCTAAAGGAAGTTAAGTAACAAGTTATTTTTATTAATTAATTTTTCTACCTCTCAAAACACTGAATATGTCTATATTTTGTTGTTAAGAATATTATAAAAATGAAAAATGGTATACCAAGTACACATATTTCTGAAAAAAAAAAAAATCATGACAGCATAAAAATTTAAGATGTCAATGCACCTGTCATATATTGTTTTTCATATTGAAATACATCCAGAAAAGTACATTGAAAAATATAAGGACTGTATATATTGTACGGTATATACAGTCGGCAAATTACCCATACCGACTGTTTTAGAAGCTATGTGAAAAGTAATGTCAAAAAATTGATCAAATCACCCATCCCCATTTTGTATAAATACTCAGTTGAAGAGTACTGTTTTCTTAGGAGGATATTTGATATTGGAGAATAATTAAAGAAGTCCAGTGCATTGATATCTATATAAAACTTTCATTCGAAAATTTTAATAATTTTATTTCTTTGCCTCAAATTTCTAACGGAAGTTGTATTCCACTAAGTTTTTAGGTACTTCTGAAGGACAAGCACACAAAATTATATGAAAAATATAAATAAATTTTCAATTCGAGAATCCACGGATGGATTCATTGATTCAATCCCATGCAAAGCAAAAAAAACATTTTTCAACTAAAAAATACATTTAACAAAAAAGTGAAATACACAAACTACTTCATTTGTTTTCAAATTACCAAAGGAATTCAGATTGGTCTGAAAAAATTTGATTTCTGCAAAAAAAATAAAAATACAATTTCCATGCTTGCTGTAAGTTTTGTGTTTGAAACAAACCTAGAAAATTGTGATTATTTGGAAACTGGATCTTGATGTACACAATCTGCTGCAGCTTCAAAAATATTTACAAATGCCGAGGACAGTTTTAGTATATTCTGTTTCATATTCAGGGATACTAAAATTCATGTATCTGTCCATGAGAATCTCATAAACAGTAAGAGATAGAGACAGTAAGTTAAAATGGAACAAAGTTATCTATTTAGGGAGTACTATCGAACGAAAATCGACTATGGTTTTTTAGTTAATGGCTATATCTTTTTCATTACCGGAAATCTAATAATACTTTGCCTTAGAAAATTACTATCAGAATATGCAAGTAGAATTTTCGTACAAAATGCGCCTGACTGAGGACTTGTCAGATTTTTTATTATTGGTTTCACGAATATGCAACATTTCCTCTGAGAAACTTTGTATCAGCTTCAAATTAGTATAAAGAAATCCACCACTAGGATCAAGTCAACATCAACATTTTTTTTTGAATCTGTATTCATTACTGATTGGCTTTCGCATGAGGTCACAAAAGAATTTCCATTTTCCGTTTTATCATATATACTCTCGCAATCAACATTGATAACATTCAGTGGGTACAATTTAACCCTCTATCTCTTACGGTTCAAAAGATCCCGATGCACACTTGAATTTGAATAGCCCTATATAAATCCAGATCTATGAAAAACTGACAGTCTGAATACGTAAGAAATTAATATCAGTTTCGCCAGGACCTGGAAGAGCCTCTGCTTCCCCTTGTTCCCCTTCCACCTCGCCCTCTTCCTCGATTTACACGATCTGCAAAAAAATCGGAGAATTCAGGTTGATAAGTTGAGGCGAAATTTGCGTAGTTCAAAATCTCATGCCAAAAGATTTTTCTTTTCTTGCTTCTTCAGATATGATTTTGGTTGAGGTGTGAAAAAATCTATTATTGGGATAAATCTGAGAAGTCCATTAAATACTCACCAAAACTCTGAAAGTTACTGCTGAATTTTCCACTAGGCGGTGTATACAATTTGTTTTCTGCTCCTTTATTGGAACGAATCTGTTTGTTCGTTGATCCGTTACTGGATTCGAAATGAATGGGTGCATGTCGTTTTTGAGGTGCTTGTGGGTTTTCAGGTGATAACTAAAATGTAAGAAACAGTATGAAGAATGTTACTAAGCAACATTTATATTTTTTATATTTACACAAAAGAAACTATTGGTAAAATGCATATATTTGGTAATTATTCCGTTAAAAATTGACAAAATTGCAATGAACCCAAAAAAAGTTCCAAATTCTACTTATAAAATGGATATCTAGTAAATTTGCCAAATAAAGTGGAAGTCAACTTACCTTGATTTTTTTTTCTAACGATTTGAAGGACAGGTGAATGTTGCACTTATAGACGGGTGTTGTGTAGAACAAATCTTTTATCAATGTAGTAATGTTATCGAGGACAGCGGGAGCAATTTTGATTTTTTCGTCATCCTTGTTCTTGATTTGAATTTTCTCCAAGGATTTTTTACAGCCACCCACCCCACGAGAGAAATAGTTGAGTCTCGATCTAAAGTCTTTAAGCACCATCGGGTCAGAAGTTAGAAAATCAGGACACTGCCTCGCTATTCGATGAAACGAATATAACAGACACTCCACAGACGTGAAATCTAAGTTAGGCATTTTATCTATGTCGCAGTCTTCAGGAGGAAGGGGCATGTAGAGCTAAAACAAATCAAACATTGATTTATAATTTTTCTATCACCCACTATTTTGAATTAAGTAACATTGAGGAATACGGCAAAAAAACATCAAGTTGCCACAAGATTTTTGCAAGGGTTGTTTCAATATCCTAGAGAATGTAATCTTAGCAGTGGCAATAGCTAACTTATTCATTGCTAGTATAACAGAACGACTGTAAAACTGTTGATGGTACAGTGGCAAGCCTGGCTTTGGCCGTCTAGCCCAATCATATCACCTAAGACAAGTTTTGACCTGCAAGATAATTGCATATCCACACACAAGTATTATTACTGAGGTTATGTTAATTTCTGAATGAAGTTTTCAGTTCCAGGCTGAACGTTACAAGAAATGAAAGTAACAAAAGTAGTAGAAGAAACAGAAACACAATTTATATTTTGTGATTTGACAACAGAATTCATACGACGTTATTAAAATATTTTATTAGGCAACATATTCAATGCCAGTTTCATTTTTCATTTTAATGAAAACGACACAAACCTAAAACGGCTTTTGTATCTATCTTTGATTTTTGGGAACTGTTGATTAAAAAAAAGAATATATTTTATGGGTATAATCAAATAATACAGCTTACCTTCAGTTTATCAAAAATCTGAACAACATAAAAAGAGGGAGTTTCCAATTTCCCACAGTGTGTACTAAGCTCAGCAAGTTGTTTCAAAAACTGGTACTGCATAATACTGCCATCTTTCAAGGTACCCATTTCCTTCCAATGTCCCAGTATCTGATCACAGTAAAATTTCACGAATCGCGTTGATTCCACATTAGCCTGTAAAAGCATTCACATACTAAGTATATAATATTCACTGATGAGTCTAATGATGGAGAACTATATCATATAAACTCCTGTTTATGATAAAAACATGATGAATACTATGACTTGTTACTTGATGAAAATTAATAATACTATCCATAATAATAATAAGAGAATTGCATTGATTCTCAAATGTGCTTTAAAATGGATATAAAGTAACTTGTAAGGACACACCTCAAATAGATTATTGCAGAACTAAGCCGGATATTTTCGTATTGCCGCATCTACTGTAATATGCAAATAGATGATACCAGAGACCAAAGCTATTGGTCATGTTAAATCATAGATCATATATCACACGTTTTTTAACTGTTGAATCATTTCATTGTCCAATTGTGCTGAAAGCTGCTGAGGGATAGAAAACTATTTTTTTGACGATCAATGTCAAAGCTTGAACTTGCAACAGTCTGATATTGGGATCCTTGTTTATGTTTGTTGAACATCATAAAACATCATATTAGACAATAATAAACAATAATAAAAAAAAAATCTTTCCATTAATTTCTTGCTGTAATTCTTGAATTAACATATAGCCCAAAACATTTGAAATGCCTATCAAGATCTAGGAAAGAACACGTTGAATACTGACTAAAGGGAAGGTCGTCAGAACTTTTTATTTTATTGTCATATGAATTTGGCTCAATGTGATTGAGCTAACATTTAAAATATCAAAACCAGAAACAACAATTTTTTATTTATGAATTTACTTACACTGAAAAATGGTAGAGCATGTTCAACACACATCATTATCTTATCGGCATTTTGACTCCCTTCATCAAGTGGATCGAAATCTTTGTCAATTTCTGCCCTTTCTGCGATCAAGTTGACTAACTCTTGTTGACCAGCAATCGTTTTAGTTAATTTTGAGGAGGCTAAGAAGGGTAATACCGTTAAAAATTCTGTTGCATTGGAATCCTAGAAAAGAAACACTTTTTTATAGTGAACCAAGTGGCAAGACTTACCAAAACTCACCAAAATGATCTTTTTGCCCTCTTCCAATAATAAGTCATTTATTTCTGGAGTTAATTTCTCATCGAGCTTAACAAGTTTTTTATATAGGAACTCCACAGATTTCTCTGTGGCAGGGATGTCTTCTGTACTGCTACTTATGCAAGGATTGTTTATGAAATCAAGCATTACTTTGACTGTAGTATGGGGATCCTCTTTGAATACTTGTAACAAAGAGCTGCTCGCTGCATTAGACACTTTATCCTCTGCCTGCAATAACTGCGCTAAAATGTTGACTATTTTCGGAATATGTTCTTTAGCATCCTTACATATTACATGTAATATTTTTATGGTACAAATCTGGATCTGCAAAAAATCAACATAATTAAGTTTAGCAATCATCAGTTTCTCAAAAAGAAAGAATCAAAAGAACCTATTATTATTATGTTTGAAATATTGCAGTCGAATACATGAAAAATCCATCATCAAATTTGATTACTGTCAAAACATCTAAATCTCCTAAAAGTGTAAAGAAAAGCATATGTTACTAGTGACATGATGATATTACATTACATATTTGAGGCTTCAAATTTTATTACTATAATTCTTTTGATATATAAAACAGGAAAATATTTGCTTCAAAGGCTTGCAATAGTTTATGGAAAGTTTTGAATTAGACTGATTTGATCACAAATGAAGTCAAATCTTGGCACTCTGGTGTACTTTCAAAGATATTGCTACTCAAAAGTTGAAAAATTATCTAGTATTTCACTTCTGTTTTCTTCCATGAAAATTAATTTCCTCAAATTGTTTGTTTTCCAACAGCCTACATCATAATTGTTCATGAAAGTAAATTATACTTTTGGAGTGGAATTTCTCAATAATTTTATTGACATAGTTACAAACTAGCAATGAATGCGATAATGTCAAATTTATATTGCTACATAATATTCTTGATATTTGTATATGGCAACATCATTTTCATTTCTTGACTTTCAACTATTTCTGATAATGCCAATAAATAATAAATCTCTAGTGAAGTACCAATATTATTCAGAACTCCATGAACAAGTTTAGTTAATAGAAGAAATGAAAGCATGGAAACATTTGAAACGGGTTTCATTTAGAGTTTTTTTTATTACCAGAAGTAAATTCTGCAATAGTTAATTTTTCAACTTTTCAGTAGACATATTTCCGAAAGCAGACCCTTGCATCAAGTTTTGAGTTCTGGTTTTCTCCAATAAAGCAATGCTTTAGTTGCTTATATGTTTAATCGAACTCATCAAATGCATGTTCAACTCACCAAACTGTCATCATCTTCACATAGAATATAAATAGCTTCTATTGCCTGGTCCTGCAGAGACGGGAAATGTTTAAAAAATTTCGATATTATCTGTGCTGCTAATTGTTTTTCCTTATCACTTCCTTTTGCACGTTCGATGCACTGAAGATATTCTTTAGAATGCTGTAAATAATATAGATTATCAGTTGTGGCAGCTGATATTTGTAAATGCATACTATTTTCCCTTCAAAATATTATACGTACATTTCCATTCAGTTATTACTCCTTTTATTTCATTTTACATACTAACTTAAAAATTAAATGGTATAATGTCCTATTATAAGTGAAAATTCTAACCTTTGAAATATTTTCCTTAGCATCCGACAAAATATTGTACTTTTCGTACATTTCTGCTAGACTGTCCGCCATTTTGCATCAGAAGAAAGTTCATTAACGAATAAATATTTAGTAAATATCACTTAATAATACGTCCTACTGGGTTTGGAGGAAATCCAGTTTGATAACTCAAAAAAGCGTGCTTCTGTTATCAACTCTCTACCATTTTAACTTTTAACAGTGATTTACTAATTCCAATGTTGCCACTTGCCTAACAACTGTTCATTACTACTTCTTCTTATACTATATTCTTTTATAGCCTTAGCTTGTAATTGTATGCAGGCAATACTGCGATACAGTGGCCAGTTGAGAAAACAGAGACATCATGAGATATAGCCAAAGAAACAGGAGTGATTTATTAATGAATTATCTGTTTGAAAAATCTGTTTAAAATCTGTTCTTCCGTTAATCAGCTGTCACCTCCATACAAACGATAATTCTCAGAAGTTGACATACTTGTGCGAGCTAAGGACCAATGAGATCTTACCTTTTAACGTGTGATTCCTAACACAGTTGCAGAATCATCCCAGTTTCAACCAGATAAAATCTCTCGAGAAAAATATCTGGTTGAGGCAGGAATCGCACCCACGGCCTTCTGCCAAAATACGACGTTTAATGAGTATATTTGTTATTGGTGACACAGAAAATGAATCGCTTAATCTTGTTGGCTGGAATGTGAAGTGAACCACTGCGTTTTTGGCAATTGCTGCAAAGGAGGTATCATGGTTACCAGGGTTTTATAGGAGGAGTTACGAAATAGACCCCACCTTAAACAGATGAGTAGGTGCCAGGCGTAAGAAGAATTCCATAACATCATTGGAGAAAGATTTGCTTGGAAAGTATTATCTGTACTGAAAAATGGGTTGGATAGATATTCTAAAGTATTGGAAAAATATCATTTGAGAATGACTCGTTCATTGAAACTAATTCGTTTATTATATTATTTCCATTGATGAATGATCTGTCACCTTCTATGAATTGTCTAGAATACACTACATATCGACTACAATTTAGTGTCATTTTGCCCTTCAATGAGGTCGCAAACATGTTGGTGAAAATTTCATAAACCCTTCTATTAACTAATTCCCTGGGTGTTATTAGAACAAACATGATGACCAACATTTTTGTCAACCTTGAACTGATATGGAGAAACAAAATGATTGAATATTCGCTGATAAACATATGGACATATTTTAATGTAGAAGCAATTAAAATCATATTTTTTGAAATGTAGACTACAAAACACATTTAATATTTCTAGATATATTGGAAAGCTAATGCATACAAACATTCAAGTATTAGTAGATGATTTCACTAAATTCGTTAGAATTACGCATTTCGAAGTGTATTATTCTGGTTTTGATTGTGGACTAATATTTCATATGGCAACTAAGAGCATTTTCCTTGAGTCAATGTTCTAATTATAAAGTCTAGATGTCACTCACTTGAAATGAAAACAGAGTACCCAGCTTGAAGCGTTATCTAGTATATAGTAGCGGAAGCTTTTGAAAAAACATTTTAAAGAAGTTTTCTAGAGATCATTATCTGAAGAGACTGAAGTTAAATATTCTCAAACTTGTTAACCTATCGAGCAATAGGTGTCAGGACATATTTAAAAACATCTCTTTCTATCAAACACAACTTCATTAATTGAATACCTGCAAATGATATATTTTTTATTCTACTGGGAACAAAACAGTATCAAGTGCAAGTTCTGAGAGGACCGTTGTGATCCATATCAAATGAATAACATTTCTTGGTTATTGAGGAGGCCTCACGTTTCACTCTAAAATTGGAAAATTGCAATCTACCAAGGGCGTATCCGGAATTTCTACTTGGAGAAGGTCATGTATCACTGTCGGGGGAAAATGGACCAAATAACTATTTGTTTAACATAAATCTATTTATAGTCCACACATTTTCATATTTTTATTTGACAGCATGTAAATGGATGATTTGTGTGTGAAATGAAAACTTTGGATGTGAGAGGGAAGGGTTTTTCATAACTTTTATAACAACTATACCTACACTATTGACACCAAATGAATATTATTGTCAGTTATTATACATTCATTTGGTACATTTTTTTGTATAATATAATTTTGTTTGCTTCTAGGTACTTTCAGAAATGTGAATATTTGATATTGATTTAAATATCTAGGCTCACAGATGAATTCTTCAAAAATATTTATTGCCGATTTCTCTAGAACCTGTCCCAGATCATTTTCATTTACCATTCCGTTAATGTTTTTGATGTTATGGCATTTAGGAAAAGTATTGTGATTTGAAAAAGTATATTTTTTGGTATTTTAATGTTTACTGGAAAATTTTAAAACCCTCCTTATTTTTCACTATTATTAAAACTTGTTTCAACAAATGTTTCACAAAATGTTTCACAAAGTGTTTCTGAATGATGTTTTTTAAATTTTAAAGCTTCTCTGATTGCACAAATGACGTCTACATATTCACTGCCATTTATAAGCACTATAGAGTGAAAAACAAGTACCTGGCTATGGAAGATTATAATATATTTCAACTCCTTAATGAAATATTGATTTCTCCCCAAATTTTGAGCGATATGATTCAACTAGAAGTTTTTTTGCTTGTCATGTATTATAGTCATGGGTGGTATTTATTTGACTGAAATCCAAATTCGAATGTTTGTGATTTTTTCTAACAGAATGAATGAAACAACAAATTTTCAATTGAAAAATAGACTGAATATTTAAAGGATCACGTGGTATATATAAATTTGACGTAGGTTCAAGATTTGGTAATTTGAATATACATTTTATTATTTTATTTTGCAGTCTCTTGAGAGGATTCATTATTGATAAATTAACTGTTCTCCAAATTGAAATTAAATATTGTAGATTTGAATACACCAAACAGAAATATATACATTTGAGATATTTTAATGGAATAAAATTTCTAACCCTAAATAATATTCCTAAAATTGGTCCGATTTTTTTTAACATCTCAATATGAGTATTTCAACAGAGACTTTCATCAATGTATAGTCCTAAAAATTTTGTGTTTTGACAATATTTAATCATTTTGTTGTTACAAGCCAAATTCTCTTTGTTCGTGATTTTGTTCTTAGATATCAACATTAAAGAAGACTTTTCATAAGTCAAACTTAATTTATGATAATTTAACCAAGAGGTTAGCAATATAATGTCATTAATGTCGCTAAAGAATATTTTATATAGACAATTCACTTACAAACAAAATTAAAATTGCCAAGATCATTCAAAAATTATTAGATGAAAACAATCAATGTGAAAAGAAAACTTTACCTTCTTGTTGTGACTTCAACAAAAAGCATTTAAATATACGACCAAGCATCTCAAACATATTGAATCACTTTAATATCAGCAATTGCTGGAAATTTCATATGCATATTAATATGATTATCAATAAGAATGTTTTTGTTGGTACCTATCTTCTTTTCGAATTTCAATATTTAATTAAAATAAATTGAAAGGGTACATTTTTAGGAGGGAATAAATAAAGAAAGGAAGGAAGCCATCAATTTCAAAAATTAACTCTATACCTACAAAGATGTATGGATCATGCAAAGAAGTAACTTTCAGACACAAAATGAAAATAAAACCTTCCCGAAACAGCTATTTTTATATAAATGTTGAATTACAGGAAAGAAAAATACTTTCGAAACATTTACTTTTATATGAACGCTGAATGATATGAAAAAAACCTTTTTTTATTCCGTTTGTATTCCAAACATTCGTAATGGAATCCTGTGAATGATATCTGATTCGATTCCATTACGAATGTTTGGAATACAAACAGAATAGAAAAAAGTTTTTTCGTATAATTCAGCGTTCATATAAAAGTAAATGTTTCGAAAGTATTTTTCTTTCCTGTCACTCAACATTTATATAAAAATAGCTGTTTCGGGAGGGTTTTATTTCCATTTTGTGTCTGAAAGTTACTTCTTTGCATGATCTACACATCTTTGTATATAGTTGATTTTTGAAATTGATTGCCGTTTCCTTTCTTTGGAAGATTCCCACATTTTTTGTATCACCATGGAGAAGTAGAAAGCCATAACTTTTCTTTCCCAAATAATTGAAATGTTTGAAATTTTATTATATAAATAAATATAATAAACATCTATATGTACTTATTGAATTGTTATTCTACACGGTTGCCAAAAAATAGTAGGGGAGAGGCGGGCAATGGTACGCATAGCCCTGTATGACCAAGCGATCGTAGAATGTCGGTGCTAATTGGATAGACTCGTGGCACACACATATTTCAACAAATATGTTACGGTACATTTCAGTTCTACGCTTTTGTTAGTTAGATATAAACCATTTTTAGTTTTCAGCATTTTTGTTATAGCATTTGTGGGTGATTCAAGTAAAGGTAAGTATTACATTTTTATTTCAAAGTTGCTCTATTTTTTTTCATGAATGAACTGGTCCCTACTGAACCAAATGCCGTATATATTTCGTGGCAATATCGACCAATAATTTGTTCAAATAGCTCATATAAGACAAATTGCGTAAATCGGGTAATGATATGCGGTTGCGTACGATTACCCTCATTGGCGTACCATTACCCGCATAATACCGAAACCATCAGTACATGTGTTTCAGCTGATCATATTGTTGTTTCAGGTGCCTAACAAGTACGTGAGAAAAACAAATATCGCTGGTTGGACCGAGGAGACTTTACAGAAAGCTCTTGAAGCAATAGATTCTGCTAGAAAAATTCGAGAGGTTTCCAGTTGATTCAACATTCACGAGGCAACACTGAGAGCGCGCAGAAAAAACAACAACACATCTGGTCCAAGACTAGAAAGACCCTCTATCTTCTCAGCTGAGGTTGAAACTCAAATAGCAAGTCACGTTCTTAAACTAGCTAAACTGTTTCATTGATTGACTCCGGTAGAGTTACGAAAACTCGCGTTTCAATATGCAGAAGCCAATGGCATACGACACGATTTTAATAAAACTCGCCAAGAAGCAGGCAAGGATTGGCTGCGATTATTTCTTGAAGGAAACCCCTAAATTAGCCTAAGAAAACCTGAAGGAACAAGTGTCAATAGAATTACTGCTTTCAATGAAGAATCCGTTAAAACTTTTTTTTCCAATTTGGCATTTTTGTTAGAAAAATTTAAATTTGGTCCAAGCAGAATCTTCAATGTTGACGAGACTGGGATTTCAACTATT